TCGGATTTCTTCCATTTCTATTTTGCCCTTTGCATCTAAGATATCAATGCAGTTTTCATTGATAATTTCTTAAAATATGGTGCCTATCCTATTTTTTTGATCATGGTTTGCAGGTAGTTGAATAATTCTTAAATTATTTCTCCTCGATCTATTTTTTAGGTCAGTAGTTTTTCCAATAAGATATTTGATATTTCCTTCTAATTTTTCATTCTTTTGACTTCATTTGAAATCTCATGGAGTCATTAGTTTCCTTTTGTCCAATTCTAATTTTTAAGGAATTTCTTTCTTCAGTGAATATTTGTATCTCTTTTTTAATTTGTCCAATTCTGTTTTTTAAGTTCTTTTTTTCAATGAATTTTTGTGCCTCTTTTACCATTAGGCCAATTCTATTTTTTAAGGTGTTATGTCCATCAGTATCTTTTTGTGTTTCCTTTTGTTGTTGTTGTTGTTGTTGTTCAGTCATTCAGTTGTATCCAACTCTTTGTGACCCCATTGACCATATATGTCCATGAGGTTTTCTTGACAAAGATATTAGAGTGGTTTGCTATTTCCTTCTCCAGTGGATTAAGGCAAACAGTGGTTAAGTGACTTAACCAGGATCACATAGCTAGTAAGGCTGGATTTGAACTCAGGTCTTCTGACTCCAGGCCAGTGCTCTATCCACTGAGTCACCTGGCTATCTCTGCCTCTTTTACCAAGCTGTTAATTCTCTTTTTATAATTTTCTTACATCCCTCTCAATTCTTTTCCCATTTTTTCTACTACTTTTAGTTCTTTCTTTAACTTTTCTAGGAATCCTTGTTGGGCTTGGGTCCAATTAGTATTTGTCTTTGAGGCTTTACTTGTAGCTATTTTCACATTGTTGTTTTCTCTTAAGTTTATGATTTGATTTTCCCTGCCACCATAGTAGACTTTTATGGTCAAGTTCTTTTTTTGTTGTTTGTTCATTTTTCCAGGCTATTTCTTGACTTTAAACTTTATGTTAAAGTTGGGCTCTGCTCACCTGGGGGTGGGAAGGCACTGTCCCAAGCTTCAGGCTTTTTTGTGGTACTGTTTTCAGAGCTAGTTCTGGGGGTCTGCAAGTTTTTGGTGCTTCCAAGGTAATGTGATCTGGAAAGATGTGTGGTTGCTGCTCTTCTGGTTTGCCATCTGGTCTTTACCTAGGAAGGGCCCCTGATCCCCTGCATCTGCAAGTGCTAGCACTTCTCTAGTCCCGGAAACTGTGACCAGGTTCCCTGCTGTTGTGCAGCCACAAGCACTAGTGCTCCTCTCAGTCTTAGATCTCTGACCAGGGTCAGTTCTCTTATGACTCATCACAAGTGCTCCTCTCCAACCCCTCCCCCCGCCCCAATGTCTCTTGGCTGAGAGCCCCTGAAGCTGGCACTGCCGCTGTTGGGGCTTCCTCCAAAGCCCCCCCACTGGTGCTGCTGTCATTCTCCAGACCAGTTCCCACCCTGGTGTCACAGACCTCTCTTGCAGACTTCCTAAATTGTATCAGGCTGGAAAAATATCTCATTCTGATCTCTTGTTGGATTTGCCACTCCAAAGTTTGATTTGAGGAGTTATTTTTAAAGTTGTTTGGAGTGGAGTAATGAGAGAGTCCTCATCTTCTATATTATCTTTTATTATGAGAATGTAAGCTCCTAGAGGGCAAGGGTTGTTTCACTTGCTTGTTTTTATATCCCCAGTGCTTAGCACAGTGCCTAGCCAGTAAATGCTTAATACATCCTTTTTCATTTATTCATTCTTCAAATATGTCTACTTCTAATGGTGCCCAGGACAAAGAAGTGAGTACTTTGATTAATTCTGTGAGGTCCTGGTGGGGTTCAACTTCCATGCCCAAGATTTCTATATCAATGCTAATATAGGAACCTAGCTCTGGTCATTTCCTTGTCTCCTTTCCCTCCATCCACACCATGTGTCAGTGCTAGGTCTAGCCTCGGTATCTAGCCTACCTTGGATCTGTCACAACAAAGCTCTGGTTTCAGCTCTACCTTCAAGTCTTCTATACTGCCAAAGATCCCCTAGCAGAGCACTTAGCCTAGCCCAGCAGAGTCCACCTCCCCAAGGTCAAAGATGTGACTACTTTCCTCTTGCTTCATGTGGTACTATCTCTCCAGTAGTTCTGGGACCATCCAGGTCAAATTATAGCCAAGAAGGGCTTCTCTAAATCCTTCCACTCCATACCACAGGCTCTCTTCTGAGCTACCTATCTCTCATTGGTCTCCTTGGCAGCTAGATTGCACAGTGGATAGAGCACTGGACCTGGAGTCGAGAAGATCTGAGTTAGAACTCTACCACAAGCACTTACTAGCTGTAAGTCACTTAACCTCTGTTTTCTCATCAATTAAATGAGGATAATAACAGCACCTACCCCTAGGGTTCTTGTAAGGGTCATATTGAATAATATGTGTAAATTTTTAAACCTTAAATTAATATGTAAAAAAATTAGTGGGAGGGGGGAAGGGCAGGGAAGCAAATACATTAGCTTTTGTACATGTTGAGTTTGAGGTGATGATGGGGTTGAACTTTGATTGAACTATCAGAATTATGCAAGAGTCCCATCCATCTTCCTACTGCTCACCATTAGTTGAAGCTTAAATCATCTATAAATGAACTTGATCAATCTCAGTCTAGGCCAAAGTCTCTTTATCTGATGCCAAGTCTCTTTAATTTTTTTTTCTTTTTTAAAAATTTGTTTTTTTTTAATTTATGGAATAAAACAAAACATTTCTATAACACAGTATAACAAAAAAAGTTAATTGCACATGAAACTACAAATCTATTATGTACAACTTGCTATTCCTTTTAAATATATAACAGAGTTATCATGCAAATTTCTTTTTTTTCCCTTTTTTCTTCCCTCCCCCTCCTGCCCCACCCTAGAGATGGCTACCATTAGACACAAGTAGGTATACATGTATATGTATACATATACATATATATAATTATTTTATATATACTTCATCAGGTCTTTCTCTGGATACAGATATTGACTTTCTTTATATGTCCTTTATTTTTAATTTGTGTATTTGTAATAGTCAAAATGACTTAGTTGCTGAAAGTCATTCTTAAAATAATATTGCAGTCACTGTATGCAATGTTTTCTTGGTTCTGCTCACTTCTTTCTTTGCCATTTCATGCAAGTCTTTCCATGCCTTTCTAAGATCACTGAGCTCAACATTTCTTATTGCGCAGGAGTATTCCATCACAACCGTACAACACAACTTACATAGTCATTCCCCAATTGATGGGGACCCCTGCAATTTCTAGTTTTTTGCCACTTTAGAGAGCTACTGTAAACATCTCATTCACAAAGTGATAATTACTATTTGTGAATTTCTCTCCATCTTACTTTTACTCACTGTTTTCTTTCTCTGCCTGTCTTTTTACCCTATTTCTGCTCCCATATCTTCTTCTCCACTCCCCATCCCACCCACCCCTCTAAGAGCTCCCCCCAACGATCTCTCCCACCCTCCCAAATCCTAAACTACAGACCCCTCTGAAAGTCCCTCCCCTGTCTCCCAGTTTTTTCACCTCTCTACATGTTCAGAATACTTCTACACCCTTCCAGATGTGTACATTGTTTCCTTTTCAACCCAAATGAAAGTAAGGTTCTAACATTATGAGCTCCCTCCCCCACCTGCTTCCTCTGTATTAGTTCCTCCTTTCACGACTCATTTTTATAATATAATTGTTCCTTTTTACCTTTCCTACCCAATTCTGTTTTTTAGAATCACCCCATCATACATAACTCATCCCCAACCTTTCTTTGAAATTATCTTAGTGATGATGGCAGTTTTAAGAATACTGATAACACTTTCATAAATATGTGCACATATATATTCATTACATTTCATTACTGATAACATTTTCATATATATGTATATAATAAGCAAGACAGTTTGACCTTAATGAGTACCTTATAATTAGTCTTTGATGTTTTCCTTATATTTATTCTAGATCTTTTATATCGAATTTTCCATTGAGTTCTGTTCTTTTTGTGACAAATACCTAAAAGTATTTGTTTTATTCAGGATTATACTGAACTTTGCTGGGTAAATTATTCTTGGACGCAAGTCCAGCTCTTTTGATTTTTGAAATATAGATTCCAAGACCAGCCTTTTAGAGTAGAAGCTGCATTTCACCAGGATCAGGATTCCCTTGGCTTTTGCTTTACCAATTGGCCAAGATCCCTGCCAATTTTCTTCCCAACATTGAATCATTTAGACTAGTCATTCAAAAATATAATCAAGAATCAATGCAATTTACTAGATGATGGATTGAGACCTGCAAGGAACCTTAGAGATCATAGTCATAGGGAGCTAACTTCTATTTGCCTCAGTTTCCTTATCTCTCAGATAAGGATAATAATAGCAACCACCTCCCAGGGTTGTTATGAGGATAAAATGTGATAATATTTATAAAATACTTTATAAACTTTAAAGTTCTCTATAAATACTATTATTATTAAGTCCAGAGATGGGGTAAGATGAAACTGAGCCTTGGAAAGTTTAAGTGACTTACCTAAGGCCACACAGGTAATTAAATAAAGAAGCCAGAATTTGAACTTAAGTTACCTGATACCAAATCCAGCACTTCTCTATGATTAAACCAAACAGGCAACCCCCAAACAGCAAGTATTCCAGTTCTCTACCACTAACTTCTGGAAGTAGCTTTGAATGGCTCCTGAGAGTCCATTGTGAAATATTCAGTATGAGCATTGACACCTTAGAAATCTTCAGTGGCTAAAAATTGGGACTTGATTTATTGTTTTGTTGAAAGGGTTAATGCAGATTAAACTTAAAAGTGTTCATACATTTTCCCCACTCTGGAAAACCCAGTTGTTAAATATTTATCAGCATATCCCTCCAGTCATCCAAGGTCATGAAGGCAGGAGCAGGGCTCTCCCTCAGGATCTTAATCTTCATGGTAGGTCATCCCCAAAAGACACACTCAGGCAACCACTTAGAGTGCCAAGTTACTTTATTACGTGCAGTGTGTGGCATTCCCACGTATATGCCATACATGTGAGTAACTTATAGGTACATGCAATCTCTTTATTCAATTCAGATTTATTAACTTTCATCCAGTAATAAGGCCCTTCTGTTTTACCTCCTATGTCTCCATCTACCCTTCCTCTCCCCCACCTTACTTCTATCCCAAGTCCAAGTCAGAGCCCTTTCTCAGCTTCCTCGTCAAGGAAACAGTGTCATCTATCTGGTCTCTTTAGACTAGGGATTCTTGACCTGGGATCTGTGACCTTGTTTGAAAAAAATCAATAACTATTTTTCATCATAATTGTTTTCCTTTGTAATTTTATGTATTTTATTTTATGCCTTTTTAAACAGTGTGGGAAGGGGTCCATAGTTTTCACCAAACTGCAAAAGGGTCCATGACGCACACACACACTCACACACACACAAGTTTGAGAACCCTTGTTTCAGAATGTAATCTTTCCTCTAATTCTGGCTGAACTCTATTTCAGGCAGGCCCCTGACACTCCTAGGAGGATTCCTTCTCCTAGGAATCTCCTTAAACTACTCCACCTTTCCTGCTCTGCTCACTTAAAGGATTTTCTTAGTCTACTGATCTGTGGTTGATAGCATATTCTCTTTCTCCCATTCACTGAAGCTCCTCCTCTACCAATCATCCTGTTTTCAGATCCCCAGTCTCTCTAAACCACTTCCTTTTCTCTTCATGCTTTTCCTCCACAATTCTAAAATACACTTACTTGAAAGGTCCCAATAGAATCAGTTAAGTATCAAAGCCATTAACCTTTTCTGATGATACCAGTCAATTTACAAAGTGCAGCTGGGGGTGGGCTGCCAATAGAACCAGTGTGAGTGTTTCTTTCTTGGCTTGCTTCCTTCTGCCCACCCCCATCTCACCACTCTTTCACCATCCCCAGTCATCCAAGATGCTATGTGTTAAGCTTTCTGCTTTCCCACCTGTCTGTCCCTCTTCAATCCCTTAGCTCCTTAACCATCTTTGTGCAACCCCCAACTCTCCTCTTAGTAAGCCTGTGGCTTTTTCCATTCTTTGTCTTAGTTAACCTTCATGCCTAGAGGCCAGGGTATACCTATAAGCCAGATTCTGAGGAAGTAGTATTCTTTACTGTTAAGAATCAATGTGCTCATTTACAATTCTGTTACCTTTTTTTTCACTGTTTGATTTGACTACAAAAAATTCTTAAATAAGTCTGTGGTTATCATCTCAGAAAAATAGTGCCTTGTACCAAAAAACACAATATAGTCAGAGCAGGGGGAATAGCTTTCTTTTCCTATTCAAATGATCACATATGGATTTACTGCTTATATACTGTGTCCTCCATCCAAAGGTTCTAAGTTCCCAGGGAACAAAGATTATTTTTCATTTTGTCTCTGTATTCTCAACAATTAGTACAAGGTCTTGTATTGTATTTAATAAATATTTGCTAGATTGGATTGTACTAAGGAAAATCAGGTCTCCCAAAGTTATACATCATTATGAAAAAGGGATTTATGCTTACAGCCATGACTTGCCCGTATAATAAACTCCAGTGTTTTCTCCATTTCTCCTAATGGTGATATCCAGTGCTGAGTTATTCATGCCAGATTTGAAATCAATCACAGCTACTCAAATGCCAACCAGTCCAATACCTCCATTTTGTTACATATAACCATCATTCTCCCCTCTCTCTCTCTCTCCCTTTCTCAAGAAATGACCATGATAAAGGTGGGAGAAATCAAAGGTTCTGAAATCTGTAGGCTATAAATTCCCTTAACGGTAGGGACAATTTTATTTTTGGCTTTGAATCCCCAGCACACTTTCTGTGAAGGTTCATAGTTATACATAGAACTGCATCATGTGCTTGTTCCACCTACGTGGCCTTTTCTTTATCCCTAGGCCTATAGAGGCCCTTGTCGGAATTATCACCGCTCTGAAGTTCCTCAACTCCTCCTTTCCGGATCTGAGCAATCCCTTGTACCTGTGGGACTCAGCTTGGAAACCTTTCTATGTGATACCTGAATGAGTGATGGTTAACCCTACCAGGCCTGTACCCATTGGGTAATTTATCTACTTTCTCCTCTCCTAATGCCTGTAATCTTTTTATGATTTCCTGATTGCCTAATGAGCCACTTTCTCTTCCAACAGCTATCCTTTAGACTGATTTCTTAAGCAGAAAAAAAATTATATTAAGCAGTTATGGGGTGGAGGTGGGGGTAAGGTAGTAAACCTAAAAAACTAAAACATAGAGTGATTAGGCTTTGTGAGTTGACTGAAGCTTCTAAGAACCCAGTGTTCCACAGAGACGCAAGAAGTTGATCCTCAAAATCACAACACGTTCTCCCTTCCAGGAGGCTGGAGGAAGACAGAGCAACACCAGAGTAAGCACTTTCTGATGGATTTCTTCCTCATGGTCTAGGCTTGAAGGTGGAGACCAGGCTCTTCCTGGCTTGCTTGGGTTGCTCACACATGCTGGTCAGAAGAACTGGGTCTGTCCTGTGTTCCACAATATTGAAGGGGCAAGTCTTCAAGTGTTCTGACATGGAGGTGACCTCGTTAAACTGCCAGCTGTTAATTCTGGAGAAAAGGCTGCTGAACTGCCAGATCTGTTGGGAAGGAATAAATTCAATTCATTTCAACAAGTATTTATTAAGCGCCCACTGAATACCAGGCACTATGCTAAATGGTGGAGATACAAAGACAAAAATGAAAACAATCCCTTCCTTCAAGGAACTTACATTTCTTAGGGGTTAGGTGGTAGGGCGGTGGTAGGGAGGATTGGAAATATGCTGGTAAATGTTTAACAGGATCTTAAGGAGAGGAAATTTACTGTCAGACACATTTTAAAGTTTAATCTACATTATTAACATTTTCTTTATCACTGTGTTAAGTCTAGACCACAGGTTCCCAAAGTGGGCAATACTGCCCCCTGAGAAGCACTGGAAGAATTGGGGGGGGCAGTAGTAGCCCCAGGTACAATTGGCAGGTGTTGACTAAAAATAAGGGGATGGTGGAAACATAAGGAAAGAAGAAAAGATAAGAAAATTTTGAAAAACTGTTCATACCTATTTCATCTGTTGTATAACAGAGTCAAAGTCATAGTGATTGCATTATTTTCCAAATAAACACACAAAATGCAAGTTATAACCAATCAGTGGTCAAGTCCACTGACAGATCTTAACAAACAAGTGTTGGCAGCAAGCCTGTCGCGCATTGTCTGGAAGTTCAGCATGCTTTGGCAGGAATACTATATAATATGATACTATATGCTTACATTACATAATATTGCATCATCAAAATTTCAATGCAGGAAAAAACCTACAAATTTACAATTAATTATTAAATTTAAGATGTGTCATTTCAAAAAAAGTTTTACATTTCAAATTTTTTGAAAAAACCATTAAAGGATTAAAGAAAGTAGATTTCTAGGGGGGGTGCTGAGTAATTTTTTTTTTGAAAAGGGGGTGGTAGGCCAAATAAGTTTGGGAACCTCTGGTCTAGACAATTCACAAAACAGTAGATCAAGCCTTTGCCAGTTTCTGAGGTGTGAATGCTCGTGCTGAAAAGTTTTTTTTTTTTAGGCAATTGGAGTTAAGTGACTTGCCCAGGGTCACACAGCTAGAAAGTGTCAAGTGTTTGGTCTGAAGCTGGATTTGAACTCAGGTCCTCCTGACTTCAGGGCTGGTGTTGTATCCACTGCACCACCTAACTGCCCCACTGTGCTGAAAATTTTAACAATTGACTCCTGAGACAGTTTGAACTAGGTCCAATATGCCCCTGGGGAGGACACAACAACAAAATGATGATGATGACGATGATGATGATGGTGATGGTGGTGGTGATGATGAGGATGATGGTGATAGTGGTGGTGATGGTGATGGTGGTGGTGATGGTGATGATGGTGGTGGTGCTGGTGGTGGTGGGACCTAACTTAGCATATAGGGTACTTTCAGGGTAAATAAACTCCCTTTTGCAATGCAGGTCAACACTTTTTGGTGTTTAGACCTTTAAAAGTTCTTTACAATATATATATATACATCAAAGATTATATTAGCCATGGGTAAGTAGGCAGCAACTAGGTGTTGATTGCAGTGTTTTCAAGAGATTACATGATTGGGGCAGCTAGGTGGCGCAGTGGAGTCAGGAGGACCTGAGTTCAAATGTGGCCTCAGATACTTGACGCTTACTAGCTGTGTTACTCTGGTCAAGTCACTTAACTCCATTGCCTTGCAAAAAAACAACAACAAAAAACAAAAAACAAAACAAAAACAAAAAAAGAGATTACGTGATCAGGGGGTTGGAAGGACTAATATGATGAATATTTCAAAGGAAAAGATGATGGGATTTGAAGATGGATTATATAGAAGAATGGAGGAGAAGAATGAAAAGTGACCCCAGAGTGTCTAGGCTCAAAGACTAGTAGGCTATTGACAGAAGTGGGATAGTTAGGAATGGGAGCCAGTTTAGTTTTGCAGGAAAGATGAGTTTTATTTTGTACATATTGAGTTTGGTGTACTGTCTGGACATTCACAGATATGGAAATGTCCTATAAGCAGTTGAAAAGATGGAACAGAAAATCACGTGGAAGGATCACAAGATCATAGATTTAGAGTAGGAAGCGATTTAGGGATTTTCTAGCCAAATTTCCTCATTTTACCAATGAGGAAAGTGAGGACCAGAGAAATTAATTGCCCAAGATCATATAGGTAGGAAGTGGTGGAGCTTAAATCCAAATCCCAGAAGTCTGTCTCCAAAATGGCCCTTCTTTGCACTAAGCAGTGCTCCTCCAGGATTTCAGTCATCTGATTAGAGGTAATAGTGAATTGCTGAACCTTAAGAAAGTTATAGCAGAGCAAATGAGGTGGCAGAACCATGATTCTATGATCTTAGAGAAATTCCAAAAAAACTAAACTAGGCAACTATTGTTTCTTCCTTCTTTTAAAATCCTTTATAACCTGGCCCGTTTCTATCTTTCCAATCTTCTTATTCTTCCCCTTGTACTTTTGATTCAGTGACTCTGGCCTCCTTGCTGTTCCTTGCACAAGACACTTGATCTCCTGACTCCTGCCATTTTTACTGGCTTTCCCCTATGAATGGAATGCTCTCCCTCCTCATCTTTGCCTCCTGGTTTTCCTGGCTTCCTTCAAGTCTCCCCTAAAATCTCACCACCTACAAGAAGCCTTTCCTGGTTCTTCTTAATGCTACTTTCTGCCCTCTGTGTTTTACGTCCAATTTATCTTGTACCTGTGTCGTTTGTATGTAGCTATTTGTACGTTACCTCCCCCATCAGAATGAGGGCAGGGACTGTTTTTGCCTTTCTTTGTGTCCCCAGTGCTTAGCACAGTGTATGGCACATGTTGCTTAGCTGTTTCAGTTGTGTCCGACTCTTTGTGACCCCATTTGGGGTTTGCTTGACAAAGATTTCCTTCTCCAGCTCATTTTACAGATGAGGAAACTAAAACTGAGGCAGGGACTTGCCCAGGGTCACACAGCTAGTACGTGTCCGAGGCCAGATTTGAACTCAGGAAGATGAGTCTTCCTAACTCCAAGGCCAGCACTCTATCCACTGTATCACATAGCTGCCTATGGCACATGGAAGGCACTTAATACATTTATACAAATTGCATACAACTTATACCATGACTTCAGTAATATAAAAGAAAACAACTTTGAAAGACCTCAGAATTCTGATCAATGTACTGCCATCCTAATTCATTCCTTTATCACCTCTTACCTCAATCATTGCAGTGACCTCCTAATTGATCTTCCCAACTCAAAACTCTCCCACTTCAGTCCATCCTCCACCTTGTTGCCAAGGTGATTTTCTTTAAGTGCATATAGGACCATATCATTCCTCTCCTCAATAAACTCCATTGGTTTCCTATTGCTTCTAAAATCAATTATAAATTCTTCCTCTGTTTTTCTTTTTAAAGATTTTCACAATCTGGCCTCATCCTATCTTTTGAGCCTTATTGTACATTATTACTCTGAATAGGGGGATAGCTCTCTCCCATAGAAGCTATACTCATGGAGTATGGCAACCCCAAACAAGTCCCACCCTCTAGCTATTGCCAGCATAGACACTTGTCCTCTGTGTATTACAAATCCTACCCCCTACAAGACTAGCTGGACAATCAGAAAATAAACCACACCCAAACCACATCCTAGCACACACATACCAGAGAGGTGGTTTGTGTTTCCTAAATTTAGAGACAAGAAAGAGAAAGTGTGGACTGCAGGGAGTGCTTCTTGACTCATTTAGGTTTTATTTTTTTGAGTGAGGGGAGGTCCCAAGGAAAGGGTATGAAAATAATAACAATTATATAATAATATAAATAATTTTATTCTATTTATAAATAATATAATTAATTTTTATTAATGTAAATAAATGATAATGTAAATAGAATCAGACTGGGCATAAGTAGTGAAAAAAATTACCTGTTCTACTTTTCTACTTCCTATCACGTTTCTAGGGGGTGAAGAGTTAATCTGACTTCTGGGAGGGAAGAAAGGTCAAAATACAACAAAGTCACAAAACTTGAGTTTGAGCCTTGGCTACTCTGTGACTGTAGGCAAATCACTTAACCTTTCTGGGCTTCATCTGTAAAATGGTGATAATACAAAATGGTGGTAACAACACTTGCCCCACCTCTGTTACAGGATTGCTGTGAGCAAAGTCCTTTGTTACTACAAAGGTAATGCATCACAGTATGTAGGCCATTAGATCTGGAGTCTTGGAGACCTAGGTTCAAAACTCATCTTAGATACTTCTTAGCTCTATGACCCTGGACAAATGACTTAACTTGCCATTTGCTGAACGATGGATACTGCGCTAAGCACCTAGGAGGATACAAATGGCCTCCAAGGCCAGCTCTCTCTCTCTGGTAGAGACCTTTATTAGGATGTCAGTGACCAGGTATACTTGCCTTTTTGTGAGCTTTCCAGCCAGTGCCCCCATGGGAATAGGTCTTTTTCTTCCATTCCAGGAGGACCATCCCCCTCTCTTGCAAGAGCGTAGCACAGATGCTCCTCATGAGGACAGACACCTGGGACAGCTGAGCCAAGCTGACACTATCTAAGAACCCTGCAATATACTGTAGTATCTCTAGGGGCAGGCTGGTTAATGACCTCTGGCTTTTCCCTCTGGGCCCCAGCTCCGGAGCAACCTCAGGCTTGATGGCAAACGTCCTGAGTTTTTGGCTGTAGATCACTTTGGCTTTTTGCCCTGGAGGGCGGAAATGATTCTGAACGAAGGTGCACCCCAAGTAGGCCAGTGGACAGCGATGCTGGAACCAACCATTGAGGCATGACTGGATATCAGAGTGGATGTTCTTGAAGTGCAGTGGGAACTCATCCCTCCTAAAGAACTTGTTGCAAGTAAAAGTAAAAGCTGAGCTACTCTTGTTATGTCTCCTGGTCACACATTCACTGTGGAGTTCCACGTGGAGACCTGGGGGGCCTTCAGAAGTGAGGTCTGCCAATACTGCACTTGAGGAAAACTGCTCTGGCTCAAAGCTGTAGGTCTGGGTTGCAAAGTCCATGAAGAGTCCATCGATGCTCCTTGACTCAGAGATGACGTGGCCCTTCAGCTCCCTTTCCATGGCACACAGAAGGGTAGTTCTGATCAGATCAGATTTTGGCAGTTCTTCTACATCAATCCCCAAGTCTGAGGTATCTGTGGCCTTGTGTTCACTTGGCCTGTTAGCCCCCATTGTGTCACCAAGTCGGGCCCTCTTCCCACAGTAGCTCATTGGGACTTTGAAGGTGTAAACAGTCTTGACTTCCTGAGCTTCTAGGTTGCCATAAACAAAGTCCCTTTCTCTGGGTGTGCAAGCAGGAATCTGGCCAAAGTGGATCAGCATTCTCCCATTATGCACTAGGTACATGTTATAGTCCTTTACATCAACTGCTGCCTTCAGTCTTTCCAATACTCCATCTTGCCAAGGTGCGAGTCCTGTCGTTCCCATATTTCTGTAAGGGTCCTTCTCCTTTTGGTCTGCCTGGCTTTCTTTCTCCACACTAGCTCCCTTTTCTAAAGCATTACTCTGCTGACTGGAAGTCTGTTCTTTCCCTCTGCCCTGACTACTCTTGCCCCCGGGGTTTGCTGAGGAATTTGTCAACATTGATGCCGCATGCTCTTTGCTGAAAATGTTTTCCCATTTCCCAAAACTGACCAGATCCATCCCTTCTTTGTCTTTTGCCAAAGCCTCTCGTTCTTCCTGACTCAGTTCCCCTACGTCGCCATTAGGTGACATTCCGCTCACTGGCAGAGAATGAGAGTCCATTCCACCAACTGCTCCTTGTTCCTCCAAAATGGCATCACTGTCCATTTCCAGTTCTTCCTCAGGGAACTCTCTGGATTCAGGGAAAAACTCCACCATCTTCAGGGAGCCAAAAAGGACCTTTTGATCCTGGATGGCCAGAGCTGTGTCCAAACATTCCTCGCTGTGGGGCTCTTTCATGATATTCTCATGAAGAATTGTTTCTGAGTCTATATTTGGCCAACGGTTCCACTCCATGGAGCAGCAGACCACGCTGGCTGGGCAGACCTGAAGGTGCTTTGCCAGTTTATGTCGGGCCATAGAAAGAGGACAGCCATAAGCAGAATTGAGGCAAGGAACCTGCTCCAGGGGACAAAGCAACTCATGTTCTTCCTCCTTGCACGTATGGAAAGCTGCTCCACAAAGCCGGCGGCAACTGATCACCAGGCAGGAGATATTTGGCTCTATCGGAACCTGACACTGTCGATGGAAACATTTCTCACAATGCCGGTGCTGTCCGGCTGGAGGTCTCTGGACCCTGCCCTGTGTGTCAAGGACAAAAGGGACAAAGGGAAAAATAAATAAATGTTAGAAGGAGACCTTTTATAGTCTTGGGTTCTCTCCTCTCTTCACTCACTCCTTGGAGAGCTTGTTTGCCCTCACAGCTATAAGTGTAGCCTTAGGTGTGTGACTGTTTCCCCAAATAGCAAATTTGTATTCCTATCCTTGACCTTTTCATCTGACAACTTGGTCCCATGTGTAGCAGGGATGAGGAGGGGTGCCCTCAGTGGATTTTATGGGTCCCATTTGACAGGAAATATACACCAAATCCATCAAAGGAGGAGTTTTTAATCTTTTTTATGTTATGGATCCCTTTGGTAGTTTAGTGAAGCCTACAGACTCTTTCACACAAAATAGTGTTCTTAAATGCATAGAATAAAATACCCACGATTACAAAGGAAACTAATGGTATTGAAATAATTATCAAAATATTTATAAAGGGGCAGCTAGGTGGCGCAGTGGGTAGAGCTCCGGTCTTGGAGTCAGGAGGACCTGAGTTCAAATGTGGCCTCAGACACTTGATACTTACTAGCTGTGTGACCCTGGGGAAGTCACTTAACCCTGATTGCCTCACCAAAAAGCAAAATATATATATGTATATTAATTAAAATATATTTTATATATATACATATAATATTATATACATATATTAATTAAATATAATTATATATATATTACAGCTTCCTTTGAGCATTCCTGTTACATGTGTCTCTGGTTGTTTCCAGAATATTTTGAGTTGGATGTCCTGCCATCACGTGTCAGAAATCAACTTCATCAGCTTTCTTCCTCCCCAAAGTAAGCCACCTTTCCACTTCTCTGTAATGGACAATGGCACCACCTGCCATTTGCCTGACCATAACAGAGTCATAGGATGAAGGTATCAAAGTTCAAATTGGAAGGGCCCAGGGGTCCTTACTCATGAATTTGCTTTTAAAATATTTTGATAACTGTATTTCAATATACAGTTATCTCTTCCACATGGTGGGTGTTAGGGGTACAGTGTCCCCATAATCTGGAAAATCTGTGTAAAATCTTTTGGCCCTCTCTTCTTAGCAAAGAACTCTGAATCTTTATGATATTAAAAGATAAAATATATTGATATTGCACAATGTTATACATATATTATGCATTTCTGAGTTTCTAAACTTTTTCTGTGTCATCTACTGGCCTTTGCATGTCATCTGTGGCTTCTGCAAAATTCCCCCCAAATTCCCATTTGATTTCTTATGTTGACCCGCCATATATCGAAACTGTGATGGGGAAAGTCACAATGTGGAACGGATAGCTGTATTTGGTTTCCTTTCTCCTAAATATTTTATTTTATGCATTTAAAAAACATGATTCTGAGAAGGGACCCATAGGCTTCACTATCTTGTCAAAATGATGCTCTAAAGGGCAAGAACTTATGATGTAATCCAATCCCCTTATATAATTTAATTAAAAATTTTTTCCTTTTTTTTTTCAAAATTATGGATTTAATCATTAATGCTATGGCCTTCTTGTTTTATAAATGAGAAAAATGAGGCCCAGGGTGGTTAAGTGGCTTATCAATAATACAAAGGTAATATGTATCTCAGGTGGGCTTTGAAGCCAGGTTCCCTAGCCCTATTCCCAACAATCTTTCCATAGCGATGCTCCTTGCATCTCTCCTTCCTTTCTCACTCACACCACCCCCCAGCAATCACTAAACTCTCCTAATTCATGCTCCCTTGTCTGTTCAATCTATTCTTTCCTCTCTGTTTTCTAAGACTTCAGTCTAGGCCGGATCTTCATCACTGCATATCTGGAGTTTTAAAATCAATTCCTATTTGGTCTGCCTAACTAGTGTCTCCTCTTTTCAGCTTATTTTTTACTCAAATGTCAGCAGAGTATTCCTCAAATACCGTTTTTATCATCTCCTTCTCAAGAATATACAATGGTTCCCAGTTCTTTAATTATAGCACTACCCCTCTGGGGATAATCACCTTTTTGACTGCATTTCTTATTCATTTTTGTGAGGAAATCCCTGTACAACTTTGATTTAAAAACTGTTCTGTCCTGTTTGTTCAAATGGTTTTAAAATAGTCAGAAGAAAAAAAATTGCAAATTCCATTTAAGTATTAAAAGCAGATTTGACCAGGACCTAAGAAAGGTTGTAAAATTCAACTTCAGGGGTTAGCACACAAAATTCTTTGATATGTGGACTAGACATTCCTTAAGAGGAAGAATATAATAGCTTGGTGGCTAAAAACAGTTAGAAGGTCCCACCTGTGACACATGGGAACTTAGCATTGCTAAATTGAATTGAATTTGAATTGAATTAGCCTAGGTTGTTTGCCCTTGGAGATATAGAGACCTGTGGGTGCTCACTGTAACTGTGCTAGGCTGTGCTATGACTTTATACTTTAGGGACCAAGTGACTGGCTCTCACTGATTGGCCAATAATCACCTTTCTCCCCACTCCCACTGCTGCCCAGGCCTCACTTGCTCAATTGTTTAGGTTCTGATGGTTCAGAGTAAGTGTAAATAGCAATTGTTTCTGCTCTGACCAAAAACTTTGAGCATCTTCCCTTTCCTGAGTGATTCTTCTGTGAAGGCAAAGTAGACCATCTTTTACCTCAGTTCCTACCTAGCCTTTATCTACTAATGGGTGTTGCCTCAGATAAACTGAGACTTGGGAAAGACCTCAGCTTAAAAAGGCCAAGGTCTCCCATTGCATCCTGGACCATCACCAGTCATCCTGGACCATCACCAGTCCTCCTGACCTGTATCTGGCCACTGGGCTCCAATGATTCTGGAGGAGAGAGGGAGGCTCTTTGCACAGTCCTGCCTCACTTAAATCCAATTCACTTGCAAGTCAAGACATCACCCTCCTGATGTCATTGGTCCTCTTCCAGAATGAAGGATAAACAACAACATAGTAGGTGACTAGATTAGGTTCTGATATCTGGGAGTTAGCTTACTCCTTCCCCCTGCTTTAGTTAATTCAGTTAATTTGGTTAATAAGTTAATGATACATATTACCTGTGTACTCTTGACAAGCCACTTAAATTAAATTTAATAATTTAGTAACAATTTACTCCTGTTTTAGCTAATTCAGGTGGCAACCCAGATAAATGATATATTTATAAATATAGCTTTTATTTATATAAATTCATTTATATATTATATTCTGTGACAGTAATATATAATATATTATAAATTTAAATATTTACATAAATATACATTTAGCAGCTTATAAGTATAGGCTGCTAAACAGCTTTAATTTCATCCTGAAGCCCAGTGATAAGCTTGCCGGCTTTATATAAATGTGTCTATGTACTCATTCTTGGGACTGTCAAACCTATTTTGAACAGAGGGAAAGAACAGATTATCAGGACTGGAGGTTTAAATACAGTCCTAGTAATATTAGCTGACATTTAAATGCCACAGTCAATAAGCTTGTGAGGCTCAAAGTTGAAATGGTGCAAATAGTATTATCTGCATTTAACAAAGGAGGAATCTGAGGCTTAGAAAGGTCAGGTGGCTTGCCCACATGGTGGAGGAGCTGCAACTCAAAGCCAGGCTTTCTGAGCCCAAACTCAAGACTCTTTTTCCACTGTACTCTGCAGCTTCCTTATTCCGAGTTGGTAGAATTGAAGTAAATAAGTAGTTAAAAGGAATTTGATGCCTGAATTTTTGGGGGTGAGTGGGTGGAGAGGGTGTTGTGAGGGTAGTTGGGGAAACATGTAAATAAATAAATAAGTAATTAAAAGGAATTTGATGCCTGAAATATGGGGGTGGGAAAGTATTGTGAAGGTAGATAGGGAACAAGAAAATAAGTAATTAAAAGAAGTTTGATGCCTCTATTTTTTTTTTTTTTTAGTGGAGAGGGGTTGTGCAGGTAAATGGGAAAATAAACAAAAATGTTCTTTCTGACCAATCTCCAAAATCCCTTAAAGAGTCTAGAGTAGGTCTGGAGCAGATAGGAGAGGCCCTAGGTAGCTCTTAATGGGCAATTCCTGATTAAATTTAAATTTAAGCTCTTCCTGAAAGCAAAAGTGGGAAAACTAGAGTTAAAATTTGATAAGAACTAAATTATAGGAGACAAAGAAATATGTGCATTTACATTGGAATTTTTTGCATATTGCTTTACATTTTATCTTAGGTTATAAAACAAAAATAGTCATTAAAAATACTCCCTGTATGACCTTGGACAAGGCACTCAAGACATCACCCTCCTGATATTATTGGTAGCTTCATAGGCCTCAGTTTACTCATCTGCAAAATGAGAATGGACCTCTAAAGGTTCCTTCCTGTTCTAGATTTATGATGCCAAGATCCTATGATTAGTGAATAATATATGCTACTTTTAATAAAAAGTTTTATAGAGAAATGATAATCTGCTATATTGTGTTCTTTCTGCCTTTCTTAACTATGTGTGCCTGAAGAGAGCCTATGAAGTTGGCCTACATACCCATAAATGACCACTTCACAAGGCAGCAGCTAGCAGATTCCTATGTTTGTTTCATTGTTAAGAGAATGATAATGAAAATGATAGAGATGAGAAGAGTGATAAAAATGAACATAACATTTATCTCAACTGAAACGTGTCACTAATTGATCTGGTTGATAACATAGGCTACATCAATCAATCAACAATCATCTCTTAAGCTCCTACTATGTGCTGGGCTCTATGGATGCAAATACAATAAATAATATAATCTCTACTACTATGGTCTTGGGATTCCTGAATGGTCTATTTATTTTATATATGGTAATTTGGTGTCAGGCCTGGAGTCAGGAAGACCTGAGTTCAAATCTGGCCTCAGACTTTTATTTGTTATATGACCCTGGCCAAGTCACTTAACCCTGTTTGTTTCAATTCCTCATCTATAAAATGAGGAAATGTCAAACCACTCTAGTGTCTTTGCCAAGAAAATCTCAAATGGGGTCAACAATGAGCTGGACACAGCTGCAGTGACTGAACAACCACAACAAAATTTAGTGTCATCATTTTTCAAGCAGGTAGAATGATATAGTGGAGAGGGAACTGGAAATTGAGACAGTGGTCTTAACCTCCCTGAGCCTCACTTTCTTTAGATGGGAGTGGTACAGTGAAAGAAACCAGGAGACCAGGGTATAAATTCATTGCCTGATGTTGACTATTTGTGTGACCTCAGACAAGTTACAGCCTCCTGGGGCCATAGTTTATTTTTCTACAAAATTAAGGGTTTAGACTACAAGAGGTCCCTTCCAACGATTTCTGTAATGAGAGGGTCAGACTAGATGAATACTAAGATTCCATCCAGCTCCATATCTTACAATTCTATTTGTTTTTCTTTCAAAGTGATCTTGTTTTAGAGGTACAGCATATACTGGGACCAATAAATTGGCCTTATTTTTCTTAACAGAGCAAGTACCAGGACCATGGCATCTCTCCACATGGCTTCTTCCCTCCAAAAAAATCAATCTCATTATTTTGCATCTGTTTTGCTTACTAACTTTGCTCTATGTCATACAGTACTTTATTGTTGTTGTTCAATCTTGTCTGACTTTTCATGACCCCGGGGACTCTGGCACACCAAGAGGGTTTTCTTGACCACGAAATTATAGTGGTTTGCCATTTCCTTCTCCAGCTCGTTTTATAGATGAGGAAACTGAGGCAAGCATGGTTAAGTGACTTGCTCAGGGTCACACAGCTAGTAAATGTCTGAGGCTGGATTTGGACTCAGAAAGATGAGTCTTTCTGATTTCAAGCCTAGCATTCTATCCACTGTGCCCCCTAGCTCTGTATGTGTGATACATATATACACATATATGTGTGTATGTATAAATATGTATATATGTATATATACACTATGTATCTATACTCTATATGCTACATATATACCATCAGAAAGGAAGGTATTATCCATTCCATTTATAAATAAAACTTAAAATTCCTTGTATTTAGTGTAAGACAGTAGTGACAGCCACATTTTGTTTTCAGGCAGCACCTTCTATCTCAGCATATCAAAGCACTGATCAAAGAGTATTTGGTGAAAACTTTTAACCCATTTTAATGATGGTGAAACAGAGGAGCCCCAAGAAAGGAGCAAATACCAAGTGCCAAAGCTATTTTCTCCAGAACTAGGTCATGTTTTGTGCTAGGCTCTGGTCCAAGATCTCTGGGGCAGTCAGAGAAGAGCAAACATCTCCAGAAGAGGAAAGAAGGTCTGCCAAGTGAGTACTTTCTACGTAACGGAAGGCATGGGTGAAACAAAGACTAAGTGGAGCCCATGAAAACCCAGGACTTACCATAGTGCTGACACGTCTTCTTGCTTCTTAGCTCTAAAGGAAAATGGAAATAATTAGCAACAGAAGTAAGACACCTATTTGTTGTTTTTTTTTTCTTTTTAAAATTCTGAATTTAATAAACTTCCACTAAAATGAGTACATTCTTACATATAGCAGAACTGAAAGGGCTGTACTACTACGTAAAATTTGCTTTTCTTTTTAAGTATGTGATAAATTTAGCATCCTTCAAAACTATCATGCTTGTCCATGATTCTGCACCCTTTTTTCATTCTCTTCTGTTTATTTATGACATGTATTTTTCTCAAGTGAAAATTTTTATATTTCATTCTTTCCAGTTTTGTGTAAAAACAATTTTTAAACATTCCTTTTTAAAAATTTTGAGTTCCAAATTCTCTCCCTCCTTTTCTCTCCTTCCCCTTCTTGAGAAAGCAGTTTGATGTAGATAATACATATCAGTTAGGAAAAACATATTTCTATATTAGCCATGTTGTGAAAAAAAACCACAGACCAAAAAATGAACAAGAAAAATAAAGTTAAAAAAAAGTATGCATTGATTTGCATTCATACTCCATCATACACCATCAGTTCTTTCTCTGAAAGTGGACAGAATTTTTCATCATAAATCCTTCAGAACTGTCTTCGATCATTGTATTGCTAATAATAGCTAAGTCCTTCACAGTTGATCGTCTTACGGTATTGCTGTGACTGTGTACAATGTTCTTCTGGTTCTTCTCCTTTTACTTTGCATCAGTTCATGTAAGTCTTTCCTGGTTTTTCTGAGAGCATCCTGCTCATCCTTTATTATAGAACAACAGTTCTCCATCACAATCATATGCTACAACTTGTTAAGCCATTCACCAGTTGATGGGCATCCCCTCAATTTCCAATTCTTGACCACCACAAAAAGTGCTACCATCAATATTTTTGTATGTATAGGTCCTTTTCCTTTTTCTTTGATCTCTTTGAGATACAGACCTAGTAGTGGTATCACTAGGTCAAAGGGTACACACAATTTTATAGCCCTTTAGGCATAGTTCCAAATTGCTTTCCAGAATTGCTAGATCAGTTCATAACTCCACCAACAGTAAATTAGTGTCCCAGTTTTTCCACATTCCCTACAATGTCTATCATTTTCCTTTTCTGTATGACATGTATTTTTAAACAGAACTCTGAACCTCAGCTTCCACATCTATAAAATAAAGGGGCTGGGCTCCCTGGCTTCTAAGGAGATGGCAAACCACTCTAGTATCTTTGCCAAGAAAATCTTAAGTGGGGTCAGGAAGAATCATATATGACTGAAATGGCTAAATAACCACAAGCTTTTGCCAGGGTCATTCCTCAGAAAGTTTTTTTCTAGCCCTACCTGTTGAAATCCTATTGTGTCCTTCAAGGCCCACCTCAAATATAGCCTTTGGTGATCACCCCAGCCAGAAGTCCTCTCTTCCTCCTCTGAATTCCTAAAAGTCCTAGGGTCTGTAATTCACTCTTCAAAATGTTTTTAATGGTAACTATTTGCATATGGTTTTATCTCCCCTCCTCTGAGGGGAGTGTCTGTAATGCATTTACATCTCTCTTCTACTGCATCCTGCGCCATCTCTAGTCGTCCGGATCTATATCTGGCCACTGGACCCAGATGGCTCTGGAAGAGAAAGTGAGGCTAGTAACTTTGCACAGACCTCCCCCACTTGAATTCAATTAATTTGCAAGTCATAGCATCACCTTCCTGATGTCATGGTCCTCTTGAAAAAAAAAGACAAACAATAACAACAACAATCTCTCTTCAAAGTATTTTTCATTGTAGCAGTTTGTGTATGGTCTTATCTCTCCCACTAGATCACAAGTTCCTTGCGGACAGGAATTTAGGTCTAATTTTTCTTTATAGCCTCCACAGTGGCTGGGCACGTTGTATACTCTAAACAAGCATTTGTTGAGTGAATGGGTGATTAATGAATATATCCTCTTCTTCCTGATTCCCAGATGGAAGTTCTTTTGAATTACAATGGGATTGCCCTACTTTGTATCTCAGGAATTGCAATGCCCTTTGATTCTCCCACTCCAGTTGGTCAAACCTTGACAATTATCTACACAGTAATGTTTCATCCCTGCTGGTCCACTACCAAATTCATGGGAAGATTCACCATTCCCTTAGTATGTGTGCTTACCCATTTCCTATTTGTATTTTTATGCATGATCAATACTCTACCAACTTCCTTTCAGCTCCATTGCTTCCAACATGGAATCCTGCCGTTTGGATGGGTGACTGTCTCACCTGGCCCACTATTTCAGGCAGTGAAAGTGAAGCCTTTTTTTACTTCTCTCATTACTCCCTGGTCATATTCTCACCAGCTGACTTGTAGCTGCATGGCATCTCTCCTTACTACCCCTTCCAATCCTGGGAGGGCCAATCCACTTTCCTGTAGCTCTAGTCACCATCCCTAGTCACTATTCCACTGTATCTGTGGTCTCTCCCAATTATAATATAAGCTCATCGAGGGCAGGGGCAGTCTTTGCTTTTGTAATTGTACCCCTAGCACTTAGCACATAGTAATTGCTTGCTAAATACTTTTTTCCCCATTCATTCATTTCCTATTTTGTATGTGTGCAGTCTCTTTTCCTTTCCTAATTATTCTGTCATGTATCTAGCTTCATTCTTCTCAATTTGACCAATTTATTAAGTTCCTACTCTGAAGTCAAATTCAATTCTATAGTCTACCCACAAATTAGATGACGTCACCTTTGACTTCATCAGTATCTGTTATATTGTCTACAAGTTCACAATTACCCTTTAACGGTCATTCTCCCCTCCACCCCCACCCCAGTTGAACCATGTACCAACTGTTTACTTTGAATATTTAATGTGTGGGAAAGAGACAGATTAGGAGTTACTTTGGGCAAAAGCAGCCAGTGACAGCAGGGAAGTCTAGTGTACCTCTTTATGACTCAGGGATTCCTTATCCAGTAAGATGCTTTTGGGAAGATCTTGTGGGTTGATAACATGACCTAACAGGCACTATGCAATATCCAGGATATTTGGCAAGCTCTTTGTTTGTTTTGGAAAGGGGTTGGTGTACAGCTTTGTGGGGCTAGTGGATAAAACACTAGACCTGGAGTCAGGAAAACTTGAGTACATATCCTTCTTCAGACACTTACTGGCTGGGCAAGACACTAAACCTCTCTCAGCCTTAGTTTCCTCAATTGTAAAATAGGGATAATAATGGCACCTACTTCCCAGGGTTGTTGTGAGGATTAAATGAGATAATATTTATAAACTGTTTAGCACTGAGTCTGGCACATAGTAGGCACTTAATAAATGTCTGTTCCCTCCCTCCCTTCCCTCAAGGACTTCACATTCTATCACACATTCCATCCTTACAAACTGTAGGTTGTTAGCAGGGACCTTCTGGAGGTCAGGTGATAGGGCTAAACATTCTGTTCCGAGATCTCTCTGTAGGTCTCTTAGAAAAACACAGGGAAAGGCCACAGTCAGCAGCATATATAGACCACATCTCCTAGGAAAATTACTCTAGGGTTGATTATAAACTCATTTAGATCCTGAAAAGATTCTCAGAAGGGAACTAGAGAGGACTGAATTAACCCTGGGGGCCTCAGGTTTTGGAATCCAACAAAGAAAGAAAACTCTCTAACTACAATGATGCTAATTATACCTTTACTAAGGTCATCAGTGCATACAGGGACATTATCAATTAAGGAGTGGTGAAAAATCACTGCCAGTGGATCAGCTCCTCTTGTCTCTCTCAGTCTCCCTTAGAGGCTCGTCTTGAGTTATGATAGCAGCAGCCTATGCAGGTTATGAGAATCTCACGGATCAGAAGAGCAATCCCTGCCTCCCCTTACAATTGCTTTTATCCTCAAATGTTGGATGTCACATCAGCCCAGGGTTTGGCACAGCTGTCAGCTGTCCATACAGGGGCTACATGACTTGAGATTATACATCTCTGGAATCTCCCCCTCCGCAACTGTACAACCTTAATTTTTCTGGATTTTCCCCTCCCCTTTTAATCCTGTTTTCTTGTTTCCACATAAAATCTTACAATGCCCATTGCCCTTGGGGTCTTTGTAGATCTAGGTACAGCAATCAGGACTGAGTAGAGGTCATAGCTGTGCCTGCTGAAAATCTCTTGCAAGGACACTCTTTGTATGTGGGGAAAGAACATTCCATAATATACAAGGAGAACTAGGCTTATTATGTCATGGGATAATCATAGGTGCTAGTTCACTTGACCGTGCTGAAGGCATGGCCAGTTGGCTGTAGTCTCCCAGTTATGTTGTTAGGAATTGTAAGTTGTCCCATATCTTAGTGGAAAGGTCATCTAATGAGCTCTGTCCACTATAGGTGCAGACACCCAGCTGCACCTGTATTTTAATTTCTAGTTGAAGGTTCTACTCATGTGACTCTTGCCCAATTCTTTACCTGCTATGAACTTCTATGGATTTACACAGGATGGAGAAAATTCATTATTTTATTCTAATAGTGAAGCATCTCTCTACAAGGATCAATCAACCTACCAAACAAATTATCTCCTAAACTGGGCCAGGCACCATGCTGGTAACTGAAAACACAACATGTAAAAATGAAACAATCCCTGCTTAGTTAGGTGATGCAATGAAGAGTGATTGGCCTGAAGTCAGGAAGACCTGAGCCTTAGACACTTATTAGCTCTGTGATCCCTGGGCAAGTCACTTCACTTCTTTCCGCCTCACTTTCCCCATCTGTAAAATGGGGATAATAAATAGCACCTACTCCCAGGGTTGTTCTGAGGGTAAAATGAGATAACATTTGTAAAGCACCTTATAAACCTTAGAGTGCTATTTAAATGCTAGCTGTTGTTATTGTCAGCTATTAATATAATAAACATGTGACATAATATTCCACTTATGGAAACATCATTAGGATCATAGAATCACAGATACGTTGAGAGCTCAAAGGGACTTCAGAGATCATCTTGACCAACCCCCTGACTTTATAGATGAGGAAAAGTAGGCCCCTGAAACGTTAAGTGATTTGCCTAAGG